CAAAGGAATTCTCTTTTATCTTTTTTTTTAATAATGTTATAAAGTTACTAGACAAAAAAGCTTGTTGCTTATTACTTATTGTTTAAAAAACTAATAATGAACGAGCTACCAACTGAGATTTGAGGATTAGAGAGATAGCCGAAGAGGTTAATAAAAATCAAGTATGATATATTTGTTAATCCCTTGTAGCACATATTTTTGTTTCATTATTACTTTGTAATTTTCACTTCCATGCAATATCAGTTTCGTTGTAGCCTTACGAATACTTTCATAAAATAGATGAACTAATTTGAATTTTTAAAACCTTTTCTATTGTTTGAAGAGGAATTTGGCATGTTAATCATGGCTGGATTAGCGCTTAACGATGTATGGTAACTACTGTTGGTGAATTTGAGGATTTGCAACTGAGAATCAAGGGTTTAATTGTGAATTAACTATCTCGTAAATTGAACTCAGGTTCCTAAAACGTGTGTTTGTGGTTCCTTTCCTGCTGCAGCTAGAGCTACAAATTCATATCCCATCGTGGGATGAGAAGCGCGGGTTTGTTTCTTTAAAGACCAATTGATCTGCACCACCACCGAGCGTAAAAATTCAACGTGTAGTTAGTTTATTATCAGTTGTGGATGTTATCCAGCTCGCATCTGAGTACCCTTCGATCGAGTACTATTGCATAATCTGAGTACTTCAACATCAAATTTGTAGTCCTCTTACAATATCCGAGTACCATGTTTATGCCTTTCCAAGGATCTATACTAGGCTTTGCTAGTATCTCTAGGGAGTTTACGAACAGAAAATATTAGTACAATGCGTAGCATACATCAGGCTCCCTGTAGCGCTGGCATACTCAAGTTTTGCTACTATTCTACCATGATTTTCAGACAACTTCATTCTTGTATCATATGGAGTATTCACTTCCTTGATGCCAATGTTGGGCTGTGAGGAAATCTACAAAGGTGCCGAGAGAGAAGGCCACACAAGATCAAAATAATGACATGAATACAAACAACGGATTTTACGTGGTTCGGCAAGTTGCCTACGTCCACGGGGCAAAAAGCGGATGAGATTTTCGCTAATAGAGAGAGAGTACAAATAGAGATTACAAAATCACTCAAAACTCACAAATTAATCTCTCAAACAAAGCTCTCTAATCTCTCACCAAATCTCTCAATCCCACAGCTCAAAAATCTCTCCAATTTGCCTTAAGAAAACTCTAAAAACGTGTGTTTCAAAATATATCAAAACACAAACCAAATCAGAATAGGAAACCAGAATCATGCCCAAACCTGACTAGTGGTCGACCGTCAAAACCATCACGGTCGACCGGACAGAACGTTTTTGAATTAATTTGAATTTTTAAAACCTTTTCTATTGTTTGAAGAGGAATTTGGCATGTTAATATCATGGCTGGATTAAAGCTTAACGATGTATGGCAACTACTGTTGGTGAATTTGAGGATTTGCAACTGAGAATCAAGGGTTTAATTGTGAATTAGCTATCTCGTAAATTGAACTCAGGTTCCTAAAACGTGTGTTTGTGGTTCCTTTCCTGCTACAGCTAGAGCTACAAATTCATATCCCATCGTGGGATGAGAAGTGCAGGTTTGTTTCTTTAAAGACCAATTGATCTGCACCACCATCGAGCGTAAAAATTCAACGTGTAGTTAGTTTATTATCAGTTGTGGATGTTATCCAGCTCGCATCTGAGTACCCTTTGATCGAGTACTATTGCATAATCTGAGTACTTCAACATCAAATTTGTAGTCCTCTTACAATATCCGAGTACTATTGCATAATCTGAGTACTTCAACATCAAATTTGTAGTCCTCTTACAATATCCGAGTACCATGTTTATGCCTTTCCAAGGATCTATACTAGGCTTTCAAATTTGTAGTCCTCTTACAATATCCGAGTACCATGTTTATGCCTTTCCAAGGATCTATACTAGGCTTGCTAGTATATCTAGGGAGTTTACGAACAGAAAATATTAGTACAATGAGTAGCATACATCAGGCTCCCTGTAGCGCTGGCATACTCAAGTTTTGCTACTATTCTACCATGATTTTCAGACAACTTTATTCTTGTATCATATGGAGTATTCACTTCCTTGATGCCAATGTTGGGCTGTGAGGAAATCCACAAAGGTGTCGAGAGAGAAGGCCACACAAGATCAAAATAATGACACGAATACAAACAACGGATTTTACGTGGTTCGGCAAGTTGCCTACGTCCACGGGGCAAAAAGCGGATGAGATTTTCACTAATAGAGAGAGAGAATACAAATAGAGATTACAAAATCACTCAAAACTCACAAATTAATCTCTCAAACAAAGCTCTCTAATCTCTCACTAAATCTCTCAATCCCACAGCTCAAAAATCTCTCCAATTTGCCTTAAGAAAACTCTAAAAACATGTGTTTCATAATATATCAAAACACAAACCAAATCAGAATAGGAAACCAAAATCAGGCCCAAACCTGACTAGTGGTCGACCGTCAAAACCATCACGGTCGACCGGACAGAATGTTTTTGAATTAATTTGAATTTTAAAACCTTTTCTATTGTTTGAAGAGGAATTTGGCATGTTAATATCATGGTTGGATTAGTGCTTAACGATGTATGGTAACTACTGTTGGTGAATTTGAGGATTTGCAACTGAGAATCAAGGGTTTAATTACGAATTAGCTATCTCGTAAATTGAACTCAGGTTCCTAAAACGTGTATTTGTGGTTCCTTTCCTGCTGCAGCTAGAGCTACAAATTCATATCCCATCGTGGGATGAGAAGTGCGGGTTTGTTTCTTTAAAGACCAATTGATTTGCACCACCACCGAGCGTAAAAATTCAACGTGTAGTTAGTTTATTATCAGTTGTGGATGTTATCCAGCTCGCATCTGAGTACCCTTCGATCGAGTACTATTGCATAATCTGAGTACTTCAACATCAAATTTGTAGTCCTCTTACAATATCCGAGTACCATGTTTATACCTTTCCAAGGATCTATACTAGGCTTGCTAGAATATCTAGGGAGTTTACGAACAGAAAATATTAGTACAATGAGTAGCATACATCAGGCTCCCTGTAGCGCTGGCATACTCAAGTTTTGCTACTTTTCTACCATAATTTTCAGACAACTTCATTCTTGTATCATATGGAGTATTCACTTCCTTGATGCCAATGTTGGGCTGCGAGGAAATCCACAAAGTTGCCGAGAGAGAAGGCCACACAAGATCAAAATAATGACACGAATACAAACAACGGATTTTACGTGGTTCGGCAAGTTGCCTACGTCCACGGGGCAAAAAAACGGATGAGATTTTCACTAATAGAGAGAGAGAGAGAGTACAAATAGAGATTACAAAATCACTCAAAACTCACAAATTAATCTCTCAAACAAAGCTCTCTAATCTCTCACTAAATCTCTCAATCCCACAGCTCAAAAATCTCTCCAATTTGCCTTAAGAAAACCCTAAAAACGTGTGTTTCAAAATATATCAAAACACAAACCAAATCAGAACAGGAAACCAGAATCAGGCCCAAACCTGACTAGTGGTCGACCGCCAAAACCATCACGGTCGACCGGACAGAACGACAGAAACTAAAAATCCATTACAAGGTCTACGGTCGACCGTCGCAGTCGACCGACCAGAACTCTAGAAAATACCTTGTACTCATGCACGTTTCCGGTCGACCACACATGTTAACGCAGACGGCCGGACAGCGCCTAGACTGTTTCCTGCTTCGTTTTTCCTGTTCTTTGACTTTATTTTTCATCGTTTCTATAATTCTCCCCTCAACGAAGTTTTTCCAAAACTGAGCCAACACCAACCAAACCAAACGTCTCACTTGTTGCATCAAGTACGAAATAAAATTAATTCACGACAACGGACTTAATCCACAACAAATCGGGAACCAAATGAGAATACGAACAAACTTTAAATGTTGGTATCAACTTATCAAACCAGCTGCATCAAAATGACTGCTTACGTATCCTCTTGCCTAAGGAATCAAGCCACACGTAGTTCATCCAAATGGCCTCCAATGACCCTCAATCAACTAG